ATCTTCCTAGTAACGTAATCAAATGCCATGATAGTCCAAATATCAACAAGTTTAAGCTAAGATTGAAGAATCACATGAATATTTATTCAATGGACATTGAAAATGCTTTTCATCAGAGACCTAAAACCCACTCTGAACGTGCAAAGCGATTCAATTCGCGCAAAAGTATTTGTTTAATTAGCTCGTAACATATTTGTGCTAATTTAGTGTTACATCTTGCCACAAACTTTGTAATTTTTTATTTCTCCTTGACAATGGCGTCATGATGACAACGAAACGTTGGTTTCTATCGTTGGTTTTTGCCAGTCTTTGTATTAAATTGTCCGGAATAGAAATAAACATAATGCAGTAATTATAGTTTTTTGGCCACGTCATTATCATAAAAAATTAACATTCATAAATATTATGGGATAGCTTATTAGCACCAAACTGAAGAGCAATAAGGTATTACATTCACATTTAAGGTCCTTAAAATTGCTCTATCAATACAATACCTGAATACCATTATTTTTACCATATCCCCAAATTGTAATGTCCACAACAGTTTTTCTGTAATGTCCATAAGACATGTTTTTATTTACTGCAAAGACACAAAGCTATTCTGGGTGATTTTTTCAACAAAGTTATAAACTTTCATCTTTAGGGAACATTTTAAACCATTTTACAAGTTTATACCTTTTAACAAGTCACAGGAAAATGGAATTAAAATTGATCACCAGATTTATTGGTTGATTTTTTTGTTATGTCCACAACACACATTCTTTGATTTATATCTTTGCAAGGAAAATACATAAGTAATTTCTTTTTTCACAAAAATGTGGGGGAGGACCATTAGTTTCTAGGCCCAAACAAAAATAATCCTAAAGTTATTTTTAAGCACTTAAGAGAGAGATCAAAATTAATGACAATTTTAACTTCTGAACATAATGTCCACAATGTGGAATTGCACTTAACCTCTTCACGGAGGTTATACATGAAAATGAGTTTTCATCACTGATTTTTGGGTGACTGAAGTGTGAACCTTCCACATATTCAAAGGTCTTCTAGAGAAACAAATACAATATTTAACAGAGTACAATTGGTCAGGTTGGAATGTTATGAGTAGCAAAATTTTGACCTTTTTCACCAATTTTTCTTTGCCTCATCAAGTAATGCATAACTAATTTCTAAAAATAAATTCTAACAAAAATTATTACATTTTACTGATTTTCTAGTGAAGAGCTTGACATTGATCTGCAAGATATCTACTACAAGGTTCGCTGTGTGGTGTTTCCTCTTCCATCCCTTGGGTTTAAAAGGGATGTGTTGAGGGACAGCCCTGATTTCTGGGGCCCTCTTCTGGTGGTTCTTTTGTATGCAATGCTGGCATTGTTTGGTCAGTTTAAGGTTAGTTCTTAATTTGCTGTGTGGTGTCTATGGTTTGTTTAATCCCATAGTTAATAATGATATTTGAAAGAAAAAAAAAATCAAATGCAGTTGAAGTTGCCAGCAACCTATGCCCCCCCCCCCTCTTTTACCCCTAAGAATGATGAGCATGATATTTTTCCCAGTAGTATCACCCTAGGATCAAACATTAATACCATGAGAATTAAGTAAACAATCATCAACTAAAGAAGCTCTTGATTGTTAAACAAATTCTCCTTGTCAGCACCTCAGGAAATGACTGTGTAGAGAACAGTATGGATAATATGCTTATTGATGTTAGAGTGTAAAGGGTTGAAGGAAAATTTGATCTGGTGGGGTCCTGATCTGGTTGCCAAAGCAGTGTAGTTTGTTTGGGAGTTGAATAGAAAATAGGTCTTGTTACAACAAGGTTTTAGGGTCATGAGTCAAGTTACCTTTACCTCTTGGAATGCTTCAAACTGAGTGTTTTTTTTTTTTTACCAGGTTGTCTCCTGGATAATAACAATATGGCTGCTGGGCTCCCTTATAATCTTCCTGTTGGCCAGAGTACTTGGTGGAGAAGTAAGTAATGTAATAAATAACTTACAAATTTGATAATTACTATGAAAGACCACAAGTTATTGTGTATTTGTTTTTTATAAGAAGTGGCAATTGAGCAAATGTCTTGATTTTGTAGGTGAACTACTCTCAGTGTCTTGGTGTGATTGGTTACTCACTAATCCCACTGGTGTTGACTGCAGCAGCCCTGCCATTGGTTAATTACTTTCCCAACATTAGTGTTGCTATCAAGGTATTTACACCTCTCTTCCTGAATAAGTAAAAATAGGTTATAGGAATTAATATTTTAAAAAACATGTGTAAGGTTATGTGGATCTAAAACAGGCAGTAGTAAAAGTAGTACATTTTTATAGGCCTTGATTACCATTAAACCCGTAAAAGAGCTGCCCCCTAAACTTTAAGCATGATTTTGAGAAAAAATATAAACTCAAAAAAGCACTCAGTTGTTTGTTTGTTCACAGTTACTTGTGATGAACTTGCTGAAATCTAATGCTGTTTATTTGCAAGAATCTTATAAGATAGTCAATTCTTAAAATTTTTTTTAAAGCTTATTTTTAATCAAGTTCTCTTATTCTTGAGGTAGGTAACAGTTGTCTTTATTGTTAAAGCCCAAAGTTAAAATGAAAACAAAGAAATTTGAGCAATGAAGGGCAAGAATGATACAAAATGTTTATTTAGTAACACATAGTCATGTACAGAGGGAAATTTGGGCTTATTCACTTAGTTTCACTACAGTCAGTGAATCATGTGGAAAGGTTCACTTTCCCGTCAGCTGTGTGTGGATATATTGAGGTATAGAAGCTAATCAACTGATGACCCATACAAGCCATTTTACTCCCTCTGAAAGCAATGGTCTTGTATACAAGCTGCAACCATGATTTTGAGTCAAACATTTTGGCTAAAAGATGAAGTTTTTACACAAATTTGACAGTATTTGAAGAACACCTTACCACTGTGTGTTGGGTTAGGTGCCATTTGGATCATAAAAACATTTCAACCCTTTGCCTTGCAGTTGTTTGGGGTGGTGTGGGCATCTTACAGTGCAGGATCTCTTCTCATCCAGGATGAACTAAAGAATAAAAGATTATTACTCATGTATCCTATTCTGCTCCTCTACATTTACTTCTTTTCTTTGTACACTGGTGCTTGAGGATATTTGTGGCAGCCATTACCTAGAGGACAGAGAGCAGGGTTTGAACTATTACTTAATTCATGCAGTTGGATTGTGCTGCTTCACTTTTGGGGTTGGGGTTGTAGGGTAAGGTTGTGTTGTTGTGGGTAGCAAAATTAACTGAGAACTCACTCAAAAAGGACCTGAATTTTTCTTACAAGCTACAATGATTCTATGATAAGGTATGTATTTTAGAAAAGCGCCAAATCATGGTATGTGCCCAAATTTGTTATTCAAATTTTTTGTGAACACTCCTTTCTTTCAATGATCTGCCCTTTTACCTCCATCGTGATATCATTTGTTGACAGTAGAACCATTTAGGTCATTTAATCACCATGAAAGAATTTGAATTTAAAAATGGAAAGAAATCTAAGCTGGAAGAAATGTGTGGAGATGTAAATGAATTTAATTACATCTTGAAGAAAGTTGTGAAATAATTAAAGAGAGAGGAAGTGGTCACAGTGCAAAAATTAAAGCCCATTGCAGAGTTTAGTGATTTTCATAATATTTCAGATCAGTCAGAGTTCAGTGGTTATGTAGAGTACATGTATATGTGGAAGATATGCTTGTTTGGTGAATTTCCAACACAAATACAACATAAGGTGCTCAATATTTCAATAGTTATTAATATTACTAAAACTAAAAAGTACTCTCTTCGGTGCGTAGGTTTTGTTCTTATTATATTCTTTGGCAATTTTGAAGTGCAAGAGGCTCTCCAAATGGTTTCTTGTACATGACTGTATGAATTATAGTAAACTGAGGTGCCAAATCTCACCTTGGAGGTTCCTAATAGGCAGTAATGTCTTATCTATGGGCTGTCGTTGTTTTAAAATGGGGACTGTTACAAATATTAAAAATATGCTAAGGAGATGTAGGATGCTACTTTTCCAAAGTACGACTGGGAAGTGACAATTTGAGTTTCAGCAAATCAAGTTAACCAGTCCAAAATAACAACATAAGCAATAATTTATCATGTGATCCTACCTCTTGATTTGCGCCGGGCAGCAAAGGGGAGTGGGTAGAAAGGACAAGATTTTTGATTGGCTTTCTCAAGAAATATCAGTCTTATTTTTCATTAATGAATTATGTCTGGAACTCAAATAATTACGATATAGGGGTGAAGATATGTACCTGTCGTGGTTACTAACCAAAGTGGCTCCATGAAAAAATTTGTTTACTACATGTGTGTCAGCATTGTTTGTTTTCTAAACATTCTCATTTGACAACTGAAAGGCAAGGCTCAGAAATTTCCCCCCTTTTTTATTCATGTTGTTTTGTTTCGATTCCTTATTGGTTATAAACTCAAATCTGTGAGAAGATCTTGAATTGAGTTAGTTTTGTACAGTTCTGAACAAGGGCTCTGTATATTTTAAAATTATATCTCATGACTTGATGGATATTAGGTGCTATATAAATGAAGATTATGCTGAGCTTGATAGTAAGCAGCCAAACTAAGTTATGTTTATCGAAACTGTACATATATAAATGGCAATTAAAACCAAATGAGGCTGGACAATTGCTCTCCTGCTGTTTTTGTTGTTGTTGTCACTCGTGTGGTTATGGAGAACTTTGATCCGTTAAAGAATGGAACGAACTTCCCGATACAATTATTGAAGCTGCCAACACAGAGGCCTTCAAGCTTGCCTTGAGGGCCCAGGCCAGGCCCCATTGAGCATTTGAACATTTTTTTTTTTAATTCTTATATCACTAGCACATACTCACTGCACTGTTTTTTAGCGCACATAGCACAAGCACAGTACATATCTGCTGAAGATGGGCTGTACTGCCCTTTGTAGATCAGACATTTAGATTAGATGTAGATTTGATAATGGAGTGCTAACATGTCGTGAGTTGAGCCTTATACAAAAATGTAGCCGATGTATATTTTCAAAGATTTATTTACAAAGCTTTTAAAATATTAGAATTTTAAGAGTATCCGCCCTTTGAAAATATTACCAGCCATGTAACTAAATTAGTAGATATGAGAACGTGCGGTGAGCTCCACTGAGCTGCCAAAAACACAAAACGATAGTCTTTTTAAAGGCTGTGACTATAATTAAACCGCGCACAGAAAGCGAAAGCAAATGAAGGCCAGGTCATCAACTAAATATGACTTCCCATTACTATCGTCTAAACATCCGGTCAACTTACACGTAGAGTTTCAAGAGTAAAGTCGGGTGCTATAGGTTATTTGTTAAGAGTTCTGTAAACAGCTTATATAATGTTGCATTTGCTGGCCGATTCGGCCGCCCTGTGTTGACATTCTTTTTCTTTAGCTTTGAAGCCCTCCCATGAAAGGTGAGTGGATAAAACTATTGATAAATAGTTGTCCGGAAGTACGGAATACGTACACTGTGAAGTTAAGGGGGAAATTGTGAGAACCTATTGCTCTAAGCGGGGTACAGCTAAGAAGAATATTCTTTAAATTTCGAAATTGATCCTCCAGTTATGTAACTCGTACTCCAAAAAGGGAGCTCTTAATCTTCTTTAACAATTAGAACAATGAGAGACAGTATTTCTGCACGAGAAGATGTACCTTCCCCCTCCAATAAATATAAACCCTCTGTTTATAAGGTTATTATCATAAAACTCAGTGCAAGTTTTTCACTGTAATCCCCGATTATCAATGGTCACCTCCGCGAAAACCGGGAGGCATTAACGAACTGCCTGCTTGAAGAGAATATCATCTGTATTCTCTTGCCTGCCTTTGGTCCCTATGTGTCATTTTGAAAACCGAGACGCCCCCAGGTTTGTTTAGATATTGGTTGAAGTAGTTGTTACATAACTTGTAAGCCCCTAGTCACTGAAGTATATGGATTTTACTTATCATTGGACAAATCATTACTCACGTGTATGCTCACGAGGATGGGGATTAAGACGTAAACCTCAAAATATGTATATGACTAAGCTTTTTTTGGCAAACTCTATGGAATACTCCGGACGTTTAACGGGTCTTAAGTGTATTTACAGATCACGATATCCACTGTCGAATCACGAAACAATAATATTTTATCACGTAAGAATATGACGTTTTCTGTTGTTGTGGCTGTATTGATATTAGCTCAGAATTATTTTGAATGAAGTTCTGCTTTGTGCGGGCACAGGAAGTCTTTCAATTCATTTTGGTACACGAAAAAATGTCATAGTTAAAATGAAAATCAGCAGTTTTTGTACGATCTAGAACTAGTGGAGAACAGTTAGCTACATTTTCTTCTACTTCAGAACTGAATTTGAAGCCAGCTATTACATAGGCGAATTAGCAAGTGTGATTGAATTATGACAGCGTTCAGTAAATTTTTATCATTCTGAATGTTCTGAGCTGCCAACTAACTAAGATAACATGAATATGCTGTTTTTTTTTTTCCGACGTTAAAGAAAAATTACAAAAAAAATTATTAGAAATGTGGCAAAATTTAAGTCGAATCCACATTATTAGACAAGTCATTTTGTTATGATATTGAATCAATTATTAACCTTAGCTTGTGTGTACCTATTCTTAAGTAGTGAGAACATATTCTTAAGCGCTTTTAGCTTATGTGCAATCGTGGCTTGAAGCAAGACCTAATTTCGTGACCTTTGCAGTCCCCGAGAGCACGAAAAACTCGCCGAGGATGATGTGAAACGTTAACGTCCTCATTAATCAACACAAGCTTTATTCACCCCAGAATCAAAATCGCATGTCTCACAACGAAACGCTTACAATTAAAACACTTGGAACTCAAAAAAATTATTTCAGCGTTAACATTGTCTGCACACGTTTACAGTCAAGGTTAAATAAACGAGCTTCTTCTGTAAGGAGACAAAAGAGGGGAAAGGGTCAAGAACAATCGACTTGAACAATCACTTTGCTATGTGACAAGATCCTTTGTGAGATCACGTTTCTGATATTCCGGCCTTCTCTAACGCGCTCTTTGGAAAGGATAATCGAGTATCTGATCCCGACGAACTAGGAAAAGATTGTGTCTGGTTACAGTTTGTTACGAGAACGATGACCCGAAGAGAAAAGCTAAATGTGACGGGAAATTCATTTGCTTGGAACCGGGTGTTTCTGATTTGATTGTAACAAGCTGCAATAGAGGAAATGTGAATTATGGATTCATGTTCTCTCAGACTTCTTCATCTAAGATCTAAATTACAACTTCTGCTAACAAACCCACATCGACATCTACCACTATTAAAATGCCCTCCAAACAAGATATTTTCTCCAAATAACTGGAGCTGATTCATTGTTTTAGGCTTTTCTTACGGATTTATAGTGATATTACTTTGGTTTGCATCACTGCTCAGCGCATTCTTTTAAAAAAAATTTATCGTTGTGTCCGAAAAATGCATTTCAAATGTTTGTTTTAGCACAAGTGAATAGCGATGGCTCAAACGAGTAAATCCGCTCTAATATTTTACGACGGAAACATTTTGGAGTTCGATTAGCTCCGTTTGAAGTAGGCACGATACCTCAAGATAAAGTAAGTTCGCGTTTTATTAACACTTTGTAGCGAAATAGTATCACGTGCACGTGGTGTGTACGCTGAACAAGAATATCCAAATGTGTTAACAGATTTGCTAATGTTATATTTCTGTACATGCCTCTGTTGGATTACGTGATTCGATCGGGTCGCGTTTGAACTTGTTCCTCACCGCCTAAAAGGCAGAATTTTCAAGGCTAGTATATTGAGCCCGTTAGGCCAACAGAAATTTGTGCTTTTGTCTAGTTAGCTAATATCTTTTGCATGCCTTCGGCAAACTGATATTGGAGATATATACCCTTTGAAAAATTATTATCATAAAGATGACAAGTTAGAATGTTTGGCAGTTTAAAAGCGAATCAAATTGGTTGTAGAGTTTCAGCGGGTTTAAGAACGTCCGTACGTGACGGATGTAGAATTTAAGAAGAGTCCGTCCACGCAAAAACAAGGAGGCTTTATGCCTTTTAGCTATCACCATCCCACAAGTCACCCTCTTTCCCCTAATGTTGCGTCACTTTGCGTCACTTGGCACCGGGTGGGTGGACCCAGAAATCAACAGGATCAGTTACGTTTTGTATGATTATTTTGTACCATTTGACGATAGGGTCCGAGACAATGGTTGGAGGAGATTTGATGGCGAAAAACTCTACACAAGAATCGTTTTACGAGGAGGTGATCACAAAGCACCCATGCCTTCCCAAGACGTATATAAACAGCAATATTGAAGTTGACGTGACCGATACTTCTGTGCCGCGAGATAAAGAGGTGAAATCGGCAGGGATACTTAGCAGCGAAAAGGATCATGAAGAAATTATGGAGGACTCCGAAAACATCTACGAGATTATACCAGGAGATCAGTGTGCGCCACAAAATATCAAGCCCTGTCCAATGATTCGTTCTTTTAGCTTGAGTAGTGCGGATAGAAACAAAGAAGGCTTTGCAAGGAAGACAGAACAGATAAAGGACACTTCGAGCGAATCCAATTCTGTTCCATCGTCGCCCAAAGCGCCAGTTCGAGATAAAACCGATGATTCGAATTCGACACATTACGCTGAAATAATTCTGACTAAAAAGGTTTCGGATTTTATTCCATCAAGGCCGACAAGAGAATCCGAAAATCCCATTCTTAGACAGGACTTTTCAGGAAGCCTCTCGGGTTTACCGGAAAACTTGCGAAATTTGCACAAGCACCTCACCGAGTTGTCCCAAGATCGTTTTCTTGAGCAACGCAACGCAAAGTCAACTCCGTCCAAGACTCCCGAATGTGTGCGGAAACCCAACGAAGGAAGCCAACGATTGTCCAAAAGCGTTTCTCCGAGACATTCGCCGAATCATTCACCGCGCGCAAAAGAATCGCCAGGTCCACTCTACACAAATATGGAATTCCAATTCATGGAGGACACTAACACTTCTCGGCGAAGCTCTGCATGCAGCAGCGTTAGTTTTAACGAGCGGCAGAGCTTGAGCAGCACAGAGGATGCGAGTAGGGATATTGAAGAGTCACCTTATGAAAATGTGAAGGGTTTGAGCGAGAACGAGACTGGAAGACCGAGAGATGGGAGCGAGCCAGTTGATATAGTTTATAGTGATTTGCATTTCCCCGAAGCGCGCCGATCTAAATCAGTACTCGAAAAAACTATATCCAGCTCTGTTACTACCTCGCAGGAGACGGTTAGCACCCATTATTTAAGAGCCCGCTCACTCCCGGGACAATCAAGCCCAAAATTACCTCCTCGAAAAAATTTGAGCCTGAATTCAAGCGATCCACGTCCAAACAGTCGGAGTCTGGGAAAGCTCAGTGGAGGCGCGCTTGGATTTTACGTTGCGCACTTTGTCAAGCGAGTAACTGTTCAGAGGTCGAACGCAAAAACTCTGCAAACGACAATTCACGATATTGTGTCAAAGACGAAAGTAGAAGATTGCTCTTCAGTTAATGTGGAAGTCACATCTGATATGATGCGAATTAGTACAAACTGCGCGCCTTATGAGGTGATCGCAAGTTTTGATGTGGAAAACATTGGCTGTATTGATTTGTTTGAGCAAGACCACACGACCTTAGGAGTTTTAGTATGTTTGCCGGATGTAGACGCTGAATGTTACGTTATTCGATGCTCAGATGCTCAGAAGATCAACAGTGCTGTCAAAAACGCTTTCAACTCTTCAAACTCAAAGGTAAGTTTGATTCAATCACGTTTTCAGTTAAGGTATGCAAATTTGAAATTTGATTTTAGCATGGTTAGTCGCATTTGGGAAAGGTCTTAGGGCAAGTATTTGTTTACACTGATATTCGCCGGTTCGTTTGTTTGGTACAAGAAGACAGAAAAAAGAAAAAAGAATTGTGGTTGACGGCAAAGCATGTTGCTTTTCGGCTGGTTGAGGAACAGAGAACTAGATGGAGCATAAATCGGGTGAAGTTCACGCTATGGTTGTCCAATTTGACATGATGGCGACCGAGGGCACCTCTAGGCCTCAGGTATTTCCGGTTCAGGTTTAATGCAGCGGATGTTTTCCTTAGCTGGTCTTTTCAGGTCGTATTACAGAGGGAAAAAATTTCATGACTCACATGTATACTCAAAATTAAAAAGTTCATGAGTTTGGAAGAAAGAAATCCCAAAAACTCACAAGCTGTTCGCGTCAAAGCGAGAATCACATGCTTCATCATCCATCAAAACAGAGGTTTGTTTGTTTTGAAACATGAACTATTTAAGAAAGAAGGAAAGAAAGAAAGAGAGAAAAAAACAGGTTTGCCTTTCTTTTCTTGAATTGACGTTGGACACTGGAACAAGGCACTGAAAATGGGCTTTTACCCCTAAAAAACTGAATTAAATTTGGTCAAATCTCTTAACAGTTCACTTTTGCTTGCTGCCAAGTTATAGCGTGTCCTGCTCCTTCTGAAAAAATTCGGAATTAAACGCAATCATCGTAGTCAAGTGCTTTCCTCTAAAAGAAGATTTACGATTTGAGTGAAGAATGACTCTTACCCCCACGTTTGTGGAGTTATCCATTTTAATGATAACTTGAAATTTTTCTTGACATTTAAAATGTCCCAAATATCATATTTCGTTATTTATGGCGTCAGTAACTTTTCAATTCACAACCTCACCAGAAAAAAAAAAATGATGATTTACTCGAATGTGTAATTTTCTTTTCTCGGGATATTTGTAAATTTTCCTTGGATATATTTCATATTCCATAAAGTGCAAAAATATTGTCCAGCGCTTGCGAGATTTTCTATCACGTTGCAGTTGAAAGTCGAATAAGCGATGACACGACGGTTTGCTATTTTTGTTTGGGTTGATCTTAACATTTTGAGAGGTGGTTTTTAAGATTTTATGTTTTGCCCCGCTTTATAGACTTTCAAGGTCCCAGCCTCCACTCCTGTTGGACCAGAGAGCTGGCTGGGAGATGATAACGTTACAACTTTCACTGGCATTTCGTATCTTGGCTCACTCAAGGTCAAAAAGTCCTACTTGTTGATCAACGAGAGTATTACATCTCTCCTGGAGAAGGCGCATCCCAAAGAATTCAAAAACACTTTTGTTGAGGTACATTCCGATCAAATTCGGATAGTAGATTCAGGGGACAGTAAAATCATCCATCAACACGCCATTCCTTGGATCTTACTGCTCGGTGTTTACGATCAAGACACTCGGCTCTTCGGCTACATAGTGTCGGATGCACGACAAGGGGAAAAGACCCGGATGATCTGTCATGCGTTCCGATGTAGTCGCATTACTACGTCAGTGGCTGCAACCGAGGCTATCCGGCTTGGTTGCCAGGCCACGTATTCTGAGCGGAGGGACTCGGTTCGATCATCAAGGCGAATCTCCTTCATTTCTAATAGTTCTAGTGGCGGATCTCTGGAAAGCACGTCTTCGTCGCCCAGTGAACATCTTGATTCCACAGTATGTTAATAAGCAAATCCTATCACAGCAATTTTCAGTTGGGTAAATTAGGTTTTCAAAAGTTGCTACATTCTTTGATTGTTCAGGAAATTGACGCTCATCCGCTTAGCCAATCAGATTTAACGTTCAAGCCAATCGCACATAAGGAAATTTGCCTTTTTTTTTATTCTGAGTTTCCGTTACCTTGGAAGAGTGTACACAAGGGAAAATCCCTATTTCTTCCAAACCATTATTTCAGCATTGTGTCTGATTACGGCCTGTTTCAATTCATTTGTAAGACCATGCCTGGCTAAACCGCATCTAAGAACTCATCAAAAAACGCCGATTCAGTTATCCTGAGAGAACACCATTTAAATTTCCTTGGCTGTGTTTTTGAAGTCTAAGTATTACTAATGATTGAATTTTGCGATTTATATTTGTTTCTAAACTCATACCTCAATTTTTTTTTTCACAGGTTGAGAAACCGAAAAGCAAGCCGCAGAGTTCAAAAGAAGAAAACCCTAAAGCAAAGGAGAAGGATTTCAAAAAAAGAAGCCTGAAGCTGAAATGCTTAGCCTCTATGCCACATTTAACGAATCGCTCTTCTAAAAAGGACAAAGATTACAAAATGGAAAGTCACACAGACAAGAATTCTGTGAGAACTACCTCAGTCAGTTCTGTGGGATGGGATGACGTCATGGATGGTTCGTGGGAGGTAGTGGAAGAGGAGAAGATTTACAATTTTGTTGTAACCTATCTTTGCTCCACTGTTGTAAATCCACCACTCCGACCGAAACACTTGCGTGAATGTGTCAAACAATACCAGAAACAACAGGCTAAGTTTCTCAAAAAATTCGGACACGAACAACCTTCGAATGAGGTTAATTTGTCGGTGTGTATAGATGGTGTTGAAATGAAGGACTCGCGGGATCAGAAAGCAGACCAAGGGATGTTTTTCCCTTTCAGTTCTGTCAGCAATGTTATGGCTCATCCAGAGACACCTGAGTACTTTGCTTTCGCGACCGTGGTTACGGGAGATTCAAAACACAAATGCCACTTGTTTCAGCAAACGAAAATTCCTTCTGCCGAGATGATCAAGAGTTTTCAAGCATTTATGTAAAGGGAGTTCTTAGTCATAAGTTAGCAGAGTGGTTGCTAAGTAACCGTGGTAAAACTGAAAAACAAACTTCTGACCAATCAAAGCGAGAGCTTTTTCCAATCACCCAATAAAAATCGAAAGTAAATGTGCATCCAGCGCCAAGCGCGGGAAAATGGCACTGGCGTCATTGCTGGTTTGATCCCATTTTCCTTTGGAAAAAATTCAAGATTTGCGCCGATTGATTATACCAAATGCGCACTCACTATCACTTGATTATCTCTGGCGGTTACTGAAAAGAACTAAACTTGCCATAACAACGAATGCACATGAATTTTCATTTAGCGGAGAGCTCACTAGATCCTTTCCCTTACCAATGCACGATACCAGCCGATTGTGGATTTATTTATTACCATTTTTTTACTAGTCACAAAAAATGACGTGCGAGACAGAAGTTTGATAAAATTAGTAACCAGAGTATCTCGCCAAATAGAATTACCTATACAGCAGTACTTTTTTATACCTATGATTTTATAACGTAAATTTAGAATTCCGGATAATTTATTGGTCTTCAATGTCAGTAAAATGTTTCCATTAGATGGTACTATTTTGCTTAGTTACAAACAAACAAAATTATTGCTTAATGTCTGCTAATAGAAATGGTGACATTTATAGTCATTATATGTATGTGTAAAAAAAATATGTTTTTGTCTCGAGAAAGACCGCCTCCCGGTTAGCTCAATTGATAGAGCGCCGGACTGTTCCGCGGGAGGTCGTGAGTTCAAATCCGGCCGGACCAAAACTCAGGGTCTTTAATTAACTGAGAAGAAAGTGCTGCCTTTGTAATAATATCTGCAAATGGTTAGTCTTTCTAGTCTTCTCGGATAGGGACGAGAAATGGAGTTCCCGTCTCCTACAGGGTTGGGGTAGGAGACGTCAATTTCCCACACACGAGATTACTGTGTGATGGATGTCCTCTCCGGGGTGGGATGGGTGGGTAAAAAAGGGGTTAGGTGTCAATTGGAACGAAAGTTCTGTTCCTTTCCCCTGCCATTCCTGTGGCGAATGAATTAAACTAAACTAAACTAAACCAAATGATTCTTAGCTTAGTCATGGATATTGTGACAACGAAACCGTTTGTGAGAGATTTTTTACTAGTCCATTAAAAATGAACTGAAGTTTTATGTAAGAAGTTAGTTACTTGGCGGCGGAACCGCCGCCCAGTTAGCCCAATGGATAGTGTGCGGGAGGTCGAGGGTTCGAGTCTCGGCCGGACCAACACTTAAGGTCTTAAAATAATTGAGAAGAATTTGCTACCTTTCTATAATATCAAGAAATGGTTAGATATTCTAGTCTTCTCGGATAGGGACGAATAAATGGAGGTCCCGTCTCCTGCAGGATTGGGGGTAGGAGACGTAAATTTTCCAAGCATGAGATTACTGTGTGATGGATGTCCTCCCCTGGGGTGGGATGGTGGGTACAAAGGGGTTAGGTGTCAATTGGGACGAAAGTCCTGCTCCTTTCTCCTGCCATTCCCGTGGAGAATGAATTAAATTCTAAATTCTAAATACTTTGCTTGCGTAAGTCAGTGGCTGTTTTGTGGGAATTCAGCGGTATAGCGAGAGGAATGAGAAGAGGTTAAATTGCTCCGCCTGGAACTCTGCTACTTGTTTATGTGGCTCCGCAACCAGATTACCATCGAACCCCGTCAGATTCGCAGGTTACATCCCACGTTACTTCCTTTTAGTCTGTTTTAGGCGTTCAGTTGGTAAACAGCGCGTTCAATTTCTCATTACAAAATCACCCCTGAATCACACATTCAGGTCATGAAATTAACGAAAACGATCACCAACTAAAGAAGCTCTTGATTGTTAAACAAATTCTCCCTATCAGCACCCTAGGAAATGTATAGAGAACAGTAAGGAGACTATGCACACTGATCTTGAGGTATAAAGATTGAAGAGATAGGTTAACTGGTGTTGCCTTGCGACACAGTTTACTGACACTGCTTGTTGGTGGTGACTCATCAAATGCTAGTGTACGTGCTAGACCGAACAAGGATACCAAAAGATAGCGTAGTAGATACAGACTTTCTCCTGCTTAGTTGTCGGAACAGTGAGCAATGGAACGTTCAAATCAGGCAATCTAAGTTTCCGAATCATGATTACTTCTAGCTTACGTGTATAAATCCCATTCGGCCCGTATTTCGTAAAGCACATCTCGCCTGCCCATAAGCACGAAAGGTGAAGCCTGATTAAATTTCCTCCCTGACATTGAAAAGATCGATGACAATAACGTGTATCAACATTTTTGTATCGATATAATCTGGAATGAAAACAATAGCAAAATGGGGTGGGGAAGTGTAGTATAGAAATTCGTTTGATAAAGATAGGTCTAACTGCTGTGTTCACCGGGAGAAGTGCGACTTTCGGATAAGTACTACATGGTGGATAAACAGATAAACTCGAGGTTGTAATGGTTTCGACGTAAATTGACTACGTGCAAGCCCATATTAGAGCTGCAGCACAAGCGGCGAAACTAGTGAGATTCAACCCGGTGAGGGAGGCGAGCGTGTAAGAAGTCTGGGAGGGGTCTGGTACGAAAAATTATCTTTCCACAACCAGCGCATAAAGCAGTGACGCTCGCATCACTCGCTGACTCAAACATGCGGGCACCGCTACTTCTGTAGCAAGGCCGGCAAGAGCCAATGCACAGGCTTACGTTTCATTACCTTCTTATGCGAACTACTTATTAGTCCCTTTAAAAGAATTGACGGAAAATCAAGTTTTCTTTACTTCTTTAACAAGTGATGTCCACAAAGGATATTTTTCCCTCTGGGCTAAATATGTTAGTCATTCAGTTTGTCTGCGATGCAATGCACAACTCAGGCACAGAAGACTCTTCCAATCAAAGGGGCCTGAACATGACCTGGAATACATTTCACTTCAGTGACTGGGCGACTTTTATACAATAAAATTCGATTTATTCATAACAATTTCTCATCTGGAGAAGGGCAAATTTGATTAAGTAGGAGTTGAAAAACAATTCTACAGAGGGTGAACTGAACGACCGCAGTTTCTAACGCATATAAAATAAAATCCGTAAAAAAAGGGTTCCCACCAAAGTTCAAATCCACATGGTGGTACAAATATCACAAAACTGAGATTTCTATGAAATATTAAAAGGACTCTAACAATGATACAAACAACAATGAACGTTGTGCCGTAGTTAGTGGATGATAGAATTTAAAGAAGCCCCTATAGAAATCGAGAGCGAAGAATCTTCGATACAGAATAATTCTCCTGGTTGTTCAAAAATTGACAGCAGGGCAGGCTCATGTTTTTCGTTGTGTCATTTTTTCGCTGCACACCGTTTGGCTACTCATTCCACACACTGCATATCATGGCGTGAATAGTGAGAAGCGTAGCCAATCAGATTGCAGCATTTGGGACAGAGCGCTTGTAGATTTATTCAAACACAAAATATCCTTTCTTTTATAGTACCTATATATCCAGAAACGCTCCTATTTTTTCTCTGATTAAAGGGGCAATTTTTTTGCATCTAGTCGATGGAAATTAGTCTGATACCTATCTAGAGTCGATTCGTAAAGTAAGCCAGGGAAGATGTAAGTTTCTATATTCTCGATGCGGATGGTATTACGCGCAATATATATTAGAAATTTTTTGATGTGACTGAAAAATAGCGAGAATTTTACTTTAAATGAGTGTCTAATAGGGACTCTAGCCCAATGAACGAGATGAAAAAGCGAAGAAAAACCCAACTTATTTTAGTAGGACCAAGAAACACCTCTTTAAATTTCGCACCTCCTGGCTTTACATCAAGTTCCAGCGAACAAAAACAATGATTGTGCCAATCTTTACCGGTCTTCATTGCCGTGAAAAAAAAATTGACCCTGTCATTCCCTTTGATCAGGAAGAAAGAAAGTCATCTCACGAACGAAGAGATGGAGTTTTTCAATATTCGCCAGCGACCTATTTATTTGAAACATATTAATAAGTCCCTCAGAAGAAATTAAAAAAATCTTAAAAAAAAAAAGTCACAGGTATTGCCAATGCGGAAAAATATTCACAACTCCAGCTCTACACTGATAGAGTAGGCAATCTGCAAAGTTCCGAGGTACATTCCATGGAAAACCTCGAAAATGAAAAATAATTTCCACCTCCAAGATATCTCTCGAAATTTGTTCACTGTTCGCATATTTAAACACAGTACAGGGTCAGTTTAACAGAAAAAATATGTTTGAACAGCCCAAATTTCCAGTTAGAACGAAACAAAACGTTTTTCTATTTCGCTCTCGATATTTTACTTTTCTCGTCTTCTCCATTTTCGAAGCTCACCAAAAAGTAACATTTTTTTCATTAGATATTCATTGCTTCCCATCCGGGGCATTCAAAAATCAAGTCCCCTCTTTGGTGGAAATTTCATTGCGTTAATTTTTCTTGAGGGGGGAGTGACAGGGTTACTGCCAAACACAGCACTAGTTAGTCAGACACAATGCAAAATTAAAGATATTTCTGTCCCCTACTAAAAAACTACGTTTTAAAAGCTATCTCTGGCCAAACTCCTTGCAGAGTTCCTCAGAAGTTGGCACCCGGATCACCGTTTCCGACTTTAGTAAGGGCTGGGTCTTGTCATGTGACTCTCCCTCCATGTGCATGTCCAACAGTGTCAACTTTTCTTGTTCGCTCGTTGGACTTTGATCCGAAGACGAAGGCGATGGACTAAGACTGTCTTGCCACGGCCTAGGGCGAGGCCTAGCAGCGCCCATAGCCTCCCCCGTTGGGAAATTAAATTTCGCATTGGGAGTAGAGTCCGTAGAGTTGCAATCCTGGCGGGGTGAACTTGCCCCCCTTGGAGAGAAAGGAGGGGGAGGGATTTTAAAAATATCTTGCAGTTCTTGTGAATATCGTTTGCAGTTCACCACCGTATTGGTCGAAGAGTCGTCCGCAAAACTGGAAATACTATCATTCGAAATGTTAATTCTGTTGAGTTCACTCGAATCCATTGACTTGGACCTTCGGTCTCGTCTTTCCGTGGCTAGGTCGATAAGTTCTTTGTTGTCCTGCTCGGGACACAGCGTGACTGAGGAACAAGTTGAGGAAGACCGACCTCGAGGAGAGTTGGGCTCTATGTAAGTTAATGGAGGTTGACTATCGCTGAAAAACGTCGCCTTGAGTAGGACAGGAGTAGACAGAGGCCTTTTGTTTTGGCCGCGCATCATGTCCACTGGTGCCGTGTATTCCACATTCTGTGGACTACAAACGGGTGTGCTAGGGTTTGAATTGACACAGGTGTCTTCAGAAGAAGTTGAACCAAACCAAGATCGACGATTGGAATTTCCGACTTCATGTCGTCGTCGGGAGTTCGGTGACTTGTGCTTGTCCGATTTCGAATTTAATCTTAGCAATTCGGGACGAAGATCTTTCGCGCACTGTCTTAAGTCACCTCCTAAAGCTACTGCGGACGCCATTATACCAACACAGCAAACAGCTACCTCGCATCGATGCTTGGATTTAGTTTTCTGTGAAGATTTAAGGGTCGACACGGGGCTATTGTCTGCTGTTACGTACTTACCGTTGACACCTGTGTCATGAAAAGAAATAAAACATGGCTAAGCTGGAGAACTTACGAGGAGATCATAGAAACCACAAGGTTCGGCACCTCTCGACGTAAAATCAAAAGAAAATCGTGCGTGCTTGTTATGTGTGGATCATTATACAAATTTCTTCTAAGCGAGATTAATCTGTATTTCAATTTCAAAAGAACAAAATTATACAAAGAATTGGAACAATGCCTGTGCAAGCGCCTAACGTCAAGAACTGAGCATAAACTCATAGACTACCTCCCTTTCGGCCTTTTAGAAAAAAATGCAAAACAAGAAAATTTTCCCTGAAAACAATTATCTTAAAATTGGAGAGAAAGTGAGCGATATCAAAGGTCAATTCCAATCCCAAGTAACAAAAGGACCCTTGGAACAAACATGACACGTTGCATAAAAGAAAAAAAAAAGAATTTTAAGCAGTACAAATAAGACTACGTGAAAGTTCAAAACAAAATTGTCGATTTTCGTCACCAGCTAGAAAACGAAACGAGACAAAATCAAGGGAAGTTGTTATTCACACGGCAAAAATAGTGGTATCATACGAAATACGGTCGAAGTTCCTTACCAATATTTTGGTTTATCAGTGATCCTAAGTTTGGAACTGAGTTACACCTTTCTGTCATAAAGCTATCCCTGGCTTTCACGCGCCTGCTCTTGTCTCGGTCTCGTTGATGCACGGAGCTGGGTCCCCACGTGCGGATCTTTTTGTTTTTGTCTGGTGGACTGACGGGGACCTCACCGGGATCATCAACTGAAGGAACGACAGCGTATGTTAATACTGAGCTTTCCAATTTACCACCATGAAATAATAAACAAACAAAAAGCCAAACAAACGTGAGTAAACAACTCGTAAACAAAGTTGTCTTACATGACAGCAGTCTGAATCTCTGATGCACAGCAGGGGATGGTGGGCCTGTGGTGTTAATGCCTTCTGTTAATGCTGGGTTTGAGTCAAAGATATCTGACGTAATGGTAAACCTGTGCTGGAAACCTTAAAAAGGAGAAGGAATACAATACTTAGCTTTTTTCCTTTCAGAGATTGCTTGCTATTCAGGAACTACAAGCCAATTATGTTTAGAACTACTTGCAATGGCAACAATGGCATCATTCAAAAATTAGCCACATTTTTGGCAATAAACCACAAAAACCAACCATGTTAAAAAATTTGACAGCTTTGTACCTCTTCCTAAATTTGCTGATATAACTGTACAATCCTCCCTAACTTAGTTCTCAAACTTGGGGAAATTTTGGAAAGTTTGCCATTTTAATTTGCCATTGCTTGAATTTCTGGACATTTCTGGACTTTTAACACCCAAGACAGAATTATTCCTGGCTTCAAGTGCTTTTTCTATTAATTCATTCGCTAAACAATTGACTTACTAACATTGGAAATTGTTAATCTCTAGGTACTGTTCAGGTAATTAAATGTAACTGATGCAAACAAAGTAAAAAAATACAAAAAAAATTTTTCAAACCTGTTGGTGCACTAATTTTTCTTCCACTTCCAAACCTCAGTTTAAAAAAGTGACCTTTTCTCTTCTTTGGAGATGGTTTCAGTTGCTTCTGTTGCTGCATTAATGAAAAGAAGAAAACATTTGTTTATCACTGCCCAATGAATGACTACATGTGGTATGCAGCAAACCTTGAGCAAGTACCAGTAAGTAGCCAGTCTTTTTATAATTATTTAGCCATGTGATATAGAAGTGATGAAGGAAATTGCAGTTTTAAGGGTAGATCATATACATACCTGTATTAACATGTTTATCTCTTTTCCAAGAAGCATCATCTCTCTTTGAGCAAGTTCCTCTTCTCTCTTTTTTAAACTCTCCGCATGAACCTCCTGCGCCATCTGTATTTGCCGCAGTTCATCCTCCCTAGAGGACAGTTCCTGTAGGAAGAAAGTTATATCTTTGTATTAACTGACTTTTCAGTATTTAACAGCACCACAGAATTCAGGCTCATTTTCACTGTGTACATATATATCAAAGTAAATACCTTTTCTTTCTTCCTTAATTCATCAAATATCTGGTCAATCTCTGTCTGCCAGCCATCCTGTAGTGTGCGGAATGAATCAGGATCATCTTGAACAAAAGAAGAATCTGAAATTTCTTCCAGATCTTCTAGAATTCCCTGAAATGAAGGTCGCTTATGGGGATCCTGGTTCCAACATTCTAAATAAAAGAAAAATACAAGTAGTCTTGACTATTCAGTTCTCTACATGGATGGTATGTTATTTTCTAGTTGGGGTGAACCAAAACACTAAATCAAGACCAACTAACCATTTGACTCCCAAGATCTCACTTGTAATTGCCCCTACTATCTGCCATGTAATTCTTACAATGTTACAGTTCTGAGAATTTGGTATTGGATATATTAATAATTCCCTAATTGATATTTACTCTTAGACTGTTCTCATAGCTAGTCTGCCTGATACTGAATTGATGTAGTATGGAGAAATTCTGTCTTGGTCACCCCAAGGACTAAGACATATAGCTACTTAATCAGAAAACTTCCAAAACAACAACTGACTTTGAGTAAGCTACTCCTCCTGGACAGAATAAAAGTCCATTCCAGGTTGATAATTTTCCCCTAGTATGATCTTAACACTGACACTCATAATCCCTTTCTGACATTTGATCACTCATGCCTCTTCGAAACAGACTCTCAGGGCTGGTCATAAATACATAAATAAATTTGTTTGTTCTTGGGGAGAGTTAGCTGAATACAGTAACTGCAACCTAGATGTAAACACAGTCGTACCTTTCATTAGATCTTTCAAAACATCAGGACAAGTGCTAGGTATCGGTAAAGTTAAACTGTTCATTGCAACACCATAAGCAACAGCTAGTGCCTCCACGTCTCTGTAAGGAACTTGTCCTGTCAGAAGCTCCCACAAAACTACACCAAAACTGAAGCAATTCAAGGACATTAATTAGTTATCAGACACCTCTACCAGACAAATAAAAAGGGAAAGAATTTACAAGTGTGTCTTTTAACTAGATAAAATAATCTGCTCCTACATGTATTAAGTATCTTAAATGCCGTCACAACCAAAATTTTGTGAGGAACAGTTCTTCAACCCAAGCTTTAATACATCATTTATAACACTGTAGAAGAGATGAAGCTGCTACCTTCCCATCTGCTCTTTGATGGGAAGAATGACAGCAATATTGTAACATCAGCCATGAAGTTGCTACCTTCCCATCTTCTCTTTGGTGGGAAGAATGACAGCAATATTGTAACATCAGCCATGTTATAAAGACAAGAGTTCTTCATCTTGATTCCAAATTTTAGCCATTTTGGTCAATAAAAGTTGCAGCTTAATTCCCAAATGAGTGACCAGAATGCTTTCATTGCTTAGAGTCTAAACCCCAAGTTAAACATTAATAAACAATTGCACTAAATATTTTTAATGCTCTGTTCTTTTCTTTTAACAAAAATGTGCTTACTTTTCTCCTTAAATGACTAAGTATTAAACCTTAACGTCTTACATGACCCTCCTAAACAATTGCCAGTTGCCTTTTCATTCCTTGAGGGGTAAACTATTTTTTCTGAAAGCAGTTTGAAAATTCTTTTTTTTGGTTGCTTAACAACAACTTCATAAAAAGTTGACATTGCAAACCTGTTCCTGCCACACAACCCACAAGCCTAGTGCACGGTCACAAGTAAAAAATATTCAATGGAGTCAAATAGAAAGAATTAACCTTTCACTGTCGGCTGCAAGAAAACTTAGAAAACCCAAGACTCAGGAAATTTGTTCAAATGTTTGTAAAAACCATTTCTCACATGTTCAATTCAAAACTATATATAAAATAATATAAAAAAGAATTTAAACCCACCTCCAAACATCACTCGCTTTTGAGAAAGTATTAGTTCTGATCACCTCTGGAGCCATCCATGCATAAGTTCCAGCAGCACTCATTCTTGTTGTATTCATTATTTCTCTAGCCAACCCAAAGTCTGTGATTTTCAGTACATTCTCAAAGTTTCCATCCTCAATTTTATTTAGGAGCAAAACTAGAAGAGAAGGATGGAAAATTTACCAAAGAAAAAAAATGGGAGTTAGTTGTTTAAGGTGGGTTCAACTGCATTACAAAAAACTTTTCAACAGCTAATTTTTCAAACAAATATTAAACAACACCAGCATGCAGCAAGCAAATCAATACTATTCACTCCATAATCTAATGATACACAACCAAAGTGAGATTTTTCTTCAAGCACACTCTAAAAAACTCATTCTGAAGAGCAAAACAGGTAGAAAATGAAATTCCACCAAACAAACTCAACCAAGCTCAAGGTCTGATTTACACAAGACAGTTCCTGTGGTATGTACGACTCACACAACAGCATTATATATGATATTGAATTCATCCCTAGGAAAAGTTTGAAAAGTTTTCACAGCGTAAACAACCTTCTCAGAAAGATTTCAAGGAGTAGATTAATGGATTGGAGGAGTAGGTTGAGGAGCCAATGGCACCCCTTTGAGTGCCCTGTGGGCACGAGCCTGTAGGGCAGGTCCGGGGACATGCTCCCTGGAAAATTTTGGAAATTTAAATGCTTGGAGATGCAATTTGGTGCATTTTTGGTGTGTTGAAAGGGAAAAAAGTCATGTAATTATCATATAAGATTTAAGTGGATCACACCAGCTAAATACACTCTGGCAGCTTTTCTTTAACTTTCTCTGTTTGCATTTAATTTTTCTCGTTTTCTTTCTCATTTGTTGCCATTGAAAATTATATTTTTTGACTGAAAAGAGACGGCCAAGATCGGAAAGTAGGCGGCTCATTGAGCCGCTGACCGGCCAGTTTTGAGAAGGCTGGCATAAATATTAAATTTTACTACTATTTAATTTGCCATTGTTTTCATTTCCTTGCAGTCTTCAAAACTGAAATTTACTAGAAATAGTTGTCTGCTAAAAATGGATTTCTTTACATCGTACCACCGGAAATATTAATGATGTTATTAGATTGGATAATAAGTTTGAAAGAAACCTTACGCGGTTTTGATTTGAAGGTCAAGGGGTGAAATAACAGTAAATGATGACACTGATATCAAAGCTGAAATATATAGAGAAGGAAGTTCCATCTCTGGAGAAAAGAGTGTTATTTAGACACTTCAGCAAGGATGTACAACTTATAAGCACAAAATAAATATAGCATAATTAAAATTATTTAAAATTTTTTTCAGAAACCACAGCACATACAAAAAATCTTTTGTCGTTTTATAACTCATTATTATTGTTGGATAACCTTGCAAAGAAGGGACTTTAGTGTACACAAGATGAACATGGAACAAGAGTGAATGTTGCCTTTGACGTGAATAATTTCATAAAAATGCAAAGCTGATGAATATAATTTTTTGTTTCATAAATTCTTGTTTCTGATTCATTTCTATACAAATAAATATTACATTTTGTAGAAATTCAGTATTCTACAAGAAAGAGGTTACACTGTAAATGATGAGAAAGCATCTGGATATATGGGAACCAAGGTTTCAACGAGGAAATCAAACAATTAATCAAAAGCTATTTGAAGAGCAATAAACGACAGCACTGTATTTAAATGTTGTGGTACTTCAATTTACACAGATGCAAAGATAGTGACGAGACTAAAATGATTTCCTGTAAGAGGGTGTCTGATAAAGGCCTGTCGATCCCAAAGTGTAAAATCAAATCGGAAGACAGATATGAAAACCAGTTTACGTGCAAATTAAATACTGAACGTCTTTTATGCTTTAGACTGAAATCTGTTCAAAAGGCAAGACGATTTTCGTTTTAATCTGCGATGGGAAGGTAAAAATTTTTTCACTTCCTGTCTGGGAAAGCCCAACACACAATCAGTTCCTTCAGATAAATTACCTTTACATGTTGCAGGGAAAAGATATGTCACTGCAACTAAAAACGATGTCACCTTATCATGTCCAGCATTGGCGTATATTTTTGTTTCGAACGCGAAAAACAAAAGCTTACAACTGAAATATTCGCAACAAACGCCATTCGAGAAGGCAATAGTTGGAATTACTGACAGCGGAAAGAAAATTCAATACCGTTTGGCCGCTTTTCCACATTTTCATTAACATCATGAACCTCCAGCAAAACAATTTTCCAAAAGGTTTTCACTGTTTTATCATTAAAACGTAATGAGAATGAAAAATTCACAATAACAACTGACAATGTTCAAATGAAGGAAAACAATTATAGTAATCTATTCCAAGTTGGCGGTAGAATTAGGGGTCAGTGCACAGAACACCCCCGTTTTCTCGATTCAAATGAGAAAAGGAACACAGAATTTAATTACTCACTGTTTCCAGACTTGAGATCCCTGTGAATGATACTCAGCGGAGCTTCATTATGAAGGTAATAGACACCACGAGCTATCTGCAAGGCCCAGTCCAGTAAAACATTCGGAGGAATAGTTCTACCGTGTGTGTTTAAAACGCGAGAAAGAGCGCCACCTCGGGCATATTCAAGAACCAGACAAAAGTTCGGTTCTTTCAAACAAACACCGTATAAACCTACAATATTACGATGGCGAAAAATGGAAAATAACTTGGCTTCTTTGGAGACGGCGTCCGCTATTTCGCTGTAGTCTTGGTAGGTTTCAGTGCGAGCGACTTTCACAGCAACTTCCTCTTCTCTCCATCGAGCACAATAAACTTTTCCAAACGCACCAACGCCGATTACATCTATCAGGTCCAGCTCGTTGAAATCGATTTCGAGAGGTTCGGTCAAAGTGGTCCTCTTTGTATCAGTCGTAATATAGTTGGAAGGAAACAAGCCGATTCGTTGTTGCCCCTCAACACGGCCGACCCACCATCCGTCGTCTCCGCTTACTTCGGGATCTCGAGATAAAATCTCAATGCGATCGCTCACTTTGAAGGTTAGTTCATCTTCGTCTACCGCATCGTAGTCGTATAACGTTGTGCAAAATTCCCCTGTCATAAGCTTCGTTAGCGGAGAATTTCTCCCCGTGAATGTATCCATTCCTTCGCTTTGAACTAAAGCACTAGGCATTGGCATCAGCTCTGAGCACGCTCTACATAGATATTACTCTGTGTCGCTGTTTCCTTTTGCTTTCGAACAATATCAGGAGTTTGGAGAATGCAATCGTTCCAAAATCGCCGCTCTCGTTCGCATAAACAATCAGCTCCAATTTTGAAAATCCTGAAATGCTGGTCAAAATGGAGGTAGTCCCAAAGCGGGCGCGGTTGCAATATTTTATCACGTGACCGATATCGAATGTATGATTGGTACAAAGGTTGGCATTGAACTTTCCGTGCTCAAAAAAGTTGACATCGTACAAGTTACCGTGACAACATTTTTTAAAATTTGGACTTCCTTATGTTTTGGAAATCTAAATCTCGGCGGGGGTACTGAAAAATTCACAAGGATACCTTTAAAAAATCGTTAAAATAATAGGCTTTTCTTAACCTACAATTTTGTTGGAAATTCGGCCTTCGTAAATATCATGTAAATTACTTTCTAGAATTCCTACTGATAGAAAACATGTGAACAAAGAATTAAACCGTTTCATCACGCATTTTATATGATCTCTTGCAAAAAGGTATCAAAGCTTTCCTTTCAACTGATTTTAAAAAAGGTAGTGAGCCGAGCTTAGCTTGAGTACACTTGTTTTGCTTGTCGGGGAATCCCCCAGAAGAATCTGACTTCATAACAACTGCCTTTCTAACCAAGTCATGGCTATAATTAGACATGACTCAACAGTTTGATTTGTGATTCGAGTTTAAAAATCTAAATTTATTGTTGTTTTGCCTCTCAAATTAAGTACGTGAGATCGAGTACAATCAATCCGTATTGTACACAGTGACGGATTCATTTGCTTTCAAAACATTGTCTTCGTAATCGATCCCAAAAAAGATACCTCAATGTTCAGTTAACCGTTTAGTTTATTTATTATGAACACCTTCTAGGGCTGCACGTTTTACGGCCGTATAAATAATCCGCAAAAGCAAAGGAAACTATTTAAAAATTCCAAAAGTCTGTGAGTGATCTGGGCCAGTATTAAATTTTATGCGCCGCACACCAGACGCGAACAAAATGTAGGTGACAGGCGTATTTACGTCAAATATGCTATTTCGGATCGTTTGCATATCGCGCGGGTGATTTGACAGCCATGATCATTAATTGATATAAATATCCTTCCATAATTCCACGATAAAGTCAAGTTTGCTAAAGATAGTAAGCAATTCCGGTTCATTTTTCCAGTCTTGGATCATGTTTACATAGCTTTTCCGGGCTCCCATTTCCGGCTTGTTTACCATTTTTGTGCATTTTAAAATTCTTACTTTACACGAAATTATCTTTCTCCGACTAATTCTACACAAACTGATGACAAAATTATTTCGCCTCCTTTTTATGTTACTAAATATTTTGAGTCGACGAGTAATCAAGTTTTGTCAACCATATTACATAATATTTATTTTTCCAAGCTTTCTACCGAAATTCTCCTCCTCTGAAAAATCCCTTCACATTCTTTAGGAGCACTATTCAATGTGCAGACACAACGGAAATCAGATGACCTTATCTGTGGTCTTGTGATTTATCTGCTCATTAACTTTCTTAGGATTAAGGCCATCAGCTCGCTCTCTTTTTCCGTCTCAAGAGTCTTCATGCACTAGAGTAAAAGTAGGGACGAGTAAACGGGTCGTAGAAACGCGGTTCACTTTGGATGTAAGGGAAAGATAAAAGTAGACATACTTGGCAACGGAAAATTCATCTGATTTTTCAAATCATTACATCCCACAAAGGATAACAAACGTGTCTAGTTTTCCTGATTGGAAATAAAAGAATGCGTGGGAGGACATTTAAACTTGATAGGGATCCCACTTTATCAGCGCTAACTTCCTGCATGCATAAAAGAAAAGCAGTTGAAGTTGACATTTGTAATCGAAAATTGCAGGTCTACCTTCCTTTCAGTGTTGCATAATACAATTGAAGGGGAAACGAATTCGAGTGGGAAGAGATTTTTATCCTTAAGCATCACGAAAGGCGCTTGTTAAGAGAAATAGTCATATCACGAGCCAAAACGATAAAAAAAATTGTTTGAAACATGAACCTCATTTTGGGCGCGCTGTAGAAAAGAAAGATACCGTTTTACGACTTTTATGAAATAATTTACAAACAGAAATTTTAAAAGTCACTCGATTTTACTGATACAAAGTCAATGTCAGCGGCCATCTAAATACAGTCTATCTTTTCCTCAGAGCAAGAGGAAATTACCGATAGCGAGTATTTCCATTTTCACTCTACTCCTGAAAACTAGCTTGTGAGCGTTTCTCACTAATATTTTCGTAATAAACTAGTATGTATGTATGTACATACTGGTTTCTTAGGAAGATAAAAGAGAAGACTTTTTTTAGCGCGGTGAAAGGCGATCCAAGAGCCAGATTTTTGAGTCAGTGGAGTATACTTCAGAGATCAGAAGCATCCGATGTCAAACACCGACGGCCGAAACTGCTAGGGTTTTACTAATTACAATTGAAATTCAAGAAGCTAAGGTAAACTAGGGTAGGTTATTTTATAGCGGAAAATGTTATATTTAAGCGTGCTAATTATTTGATAAGTGTAAATCAATTGTGGGCATGATATTAGTAAAAATTCTGACGCATTGGGGACACGCGTGGTTAGGAGGAAGTGGAAAAATAAAAATTCGGTTTAAAGATAATTGGATTGATGAAACTAAAACCAGATATTTATTAACGTAATTAGCATAGTGTCAGTTTCCCTCTGACGAATAAATCTCCATCATTCTCAACAGGATGACAAGCTGACAAGGAAAGTACAGATTACCACGATAACGGGTTTGCGGGCATTTTTTTTATCTTTGTTCCATGCGTGCGGCAAGACGAATAACAAACCATAGCCTCTTAAATAATTAAAGTTGGCAAAAATCGACATAATTTACAGTCAATTCAATTTTTTTTCTAGTTAACTGCATTCGTCAAGTTTAGGTTTCTTGGCTTGGTGTGGTGTGCCTGTGGTGGGTGTGTCTGGTTCCACTGTTATCCCGGACAGAAGGTAACCTCCTGTACCGTTCATGTTGATTTCCGGGTGTGTGCGAGCTGGGAGAACCTGGGGAGAGAAATCAAGATAAGGTATTTGGCAGGTCATTAAAGTTAATGATAAAATTGCTTTTAGTGACTTCAAATGACAGCTTTTTGTGATGCACAAAAATCACAGAGTTAAGAAACTCAAAAGGAACGAAGGTGATTATGAATGGAGAAAATAAACACGATTTGGATGTAACAATCTCGAAAGGCTTGTGCTGAATTTCTTAAGACACAGGCTCCGCGATATTGTAAGAATTTTGTGAGAGCATGACGAGTGACATAGTTGCACGTAGAAAAATTTGACTCGCACAATCATTTCAGTGAGGTTGGAAATATGTCTCAAAAATTAGGTGTGTCAAATTTTGTTTGTTTGTTTGTTTGTTTGCAAATGCTTACATTTGTAAACGCGTATGTGCGTTCGTTATGGCCGAAAAAGAAAAAAAAAACACATTTTACTTCACCTTAACTCAGAGTAACTGGACAACAAACTTCGTATCCCCTGATGCACTTTCGAACGCAGTGAACTACAGTGTAATTATGACAGACTCGCTTACCATGTTGCAGGCAAGTTCGTTTGCTACAACACACACAAGTACTCTTACCTGGTAATGTCGCCACCATGTTTCAGACAGCTGAATATTAATAGCTGTTCCTTTTTCCCTCAAATTCACATAACACTCCATCAAAGGCTGAAAATGAACGCAATAGTATTGTTTAAGTGATCACATCGACGCTAGAATAAATCATCATCTCTGTACCAGAGTAAACAGAACTGCCTTAATGAGGATTCTCAATAAACGCCTCCGAACCAAGAAGTTCCTTTTCCGAATTTGTCCATCGCTGCTCACGACACAAATCCGCTACCTAAAACTTTCCGGATTGTTCGCGACTCCAGAAAAAATCTCTCCTCTAGTATTGGATTGTACTGGTATCGGATAAAATCCTTACTTCTTTGAACTGACAGTAAACCACAAACGGCCTGGATGGGGCGAGGCGAGGAAGGAGAGACATTACAAGGGGGCTGGGCTGAAAACGGCTCACGACAACCAAACTAAAAGAACAGAGGCAAAAAAATTACTAGTTAAATAGTTGACCATGAGTTTCATCCCTCGGGTGAACGCCGCATCGGAAACGCTAAAAATTTTAAAGACCCCGCGGTGTTTAATCAGTAAATACCATGGTAACCCATTGAAGGTAAGAAGCACCCTCCTCCATCAGTTAAGCCAGATGTAACAAACTAACTTGTTACCTGTCTAAATTTCCACGTTCTAATTCTTCTCGGGCCCTTGTTTCCTCATTTTTTCTACGCGATCTCCGGGCGAATTTTTCCTGCAATAGCGGAAGTTGATGTTTACTTTTAGCATGTACTAAAATAATGGATAGCGTTGAAGACGCGGTCTGTTTGCCCATTCGAATTCAGAATATCCTTTGCCATACACCGCCTAGCAACTCGCGCTAAATTTGAGCCCGTTTTGAATTTGTGCCCGTTGTGAATTTGTGTCCGTTCTGATTGACCCTTGTGATTATATCTATAATTTAATTCTGGCTGTACGGCACTCAATCAAAAACACATTCTAAACAAAACGTTCATGACTTCATCATACTTCCTCACTCATGGCGTTTCCACCCTGAAGTTCCTCCTGATCGTCTCCTGAGCTGTCGCCACTTTTCGGGAGCTCATTTGCAATTTCTCGATCCTCAGCTGTTGAATGACTTGCCTCAGTAGTTGATGCAGGTCTATTTTCAGTCCCTGATCACACAGTAACAAGAACTGTAGTAAGTGATATTTATTCAATCATATAACCTCTCCCAACCGTTTAACTCCTCCGCCTTATTCACATGTTATTAACCAAGCTTACTCGGGACCGCAATGAAAGAATATTGGCCCTCGGTCTTTTTTGTACGGACCTCGCTGCGCTCGTTCCGTACTGTCAAGACCTCGGGCCGATATTCTCCCAGTACGGCCCTCGCGCGTGGTTAATAAGATACATATACTTGTGGTGCGCTTCATATAACTTTATGCTATCACTGTCACTCTCATCAGCTACATAACAACCTGCTGTAACATCTCAGATTTATATGTTCTATCTGCAGACACACCCTACACACGTGTTGCAACATTATGAGTTTGACTTGTGGTGAGAAATACCACAATTGTAGGCAATATGTCATCATTGCTAGTTGTATGTTTACCTGTGCTTTTTCCCAGTGTTGTTACTTTATCCATTGCAAAGCCACTCAAACATTCCATGAAATGTTTGGGAAAATTGAAATAATCTAGTGCCTGTCTACAAAGAAAACAAAATAATATTTCACGCAAACTGATTACTGGAAATCGATAAATACTTTTCTGACGAGTTCTTGTTAGTTATTTATTTATTTTTCGTGACCTACCTGTAGAACTCCCGACACTACTAGATAGTACACAAAATCACACTACATTTGTTTCACTGTGTATTTGGTAAAAACACCTCAGTTGATTTGGCAGGTGTACTTTGGTTTGTTTGGTAAAATCTAAAATGGTTATGTTGAGTACAAAACAAGAGAAACGTATTTTACCGATTGATTTTTCAAAGTTCAGAGAAAGCTGAGCTTTGAAAAGCAGGCTTCCTCTTAAATTGAGATTCACAATTATACATTACGCATAGTTTGTAGGATATAAAATTATCACATATTAAACAGCTTCCTTTGCAATTCTTTCATTATGAGAGAACCAAAAGAAATTTATGGTTCTGAGTTTTATTTTTATGTATGATGCAGTTTTATTTTTATTGGTTTGTTTTGAAAATCAAGGCCAGCTAAACAGGATCTTTGCAAAATCATTATGTGTGCACTTTCAGAAGTTACAGAGAATGTTTCTGTTTTGTTTTTTTTTTTAATTTAGTTTTTACCTTGCTGGAAAATCACCAGAATAAATCTGAATAAGACTTCCATGACCTGTTCATAAGAAAAGACAACAAGGGGTGGATATCACTATGACTACGGTACACCACAAGAAGTAACATTCTAACCCCTTAACTGCCAAGATCTGATTGTTATTTCTCCCCTCTAGCTGCTACACATTTCCTTGTAAATTAGTTACAAGAATTTGGTGTTAGATCAAGATAACACATTCTACCTGACGAATGAGTATTCTCATCACCCTTTGGCTGGATAATGTGAGGACATTACTGGGAGAAGTTTCATGTTGATCACCTGTTGGAGTTTTAAGGGCTAACCTCAAGGAGTGAATAGAATCTTATTTCTCTCTGCATCTTCATTACTGAATCAAACATTAAGGTAATGAGAATACAAGAAATGATCACCCACTCAACCAGCTTTTGATTGTCAAACAAATTCTCCTTGCAGATACCATATCATATTTACCCGTGTATAATACACGCCCATGTATAATGCGCACCCTCGTTTTTAACCGAATTTATCAGAAAAAAAAGTTTTTCACAGCAAAAAAGACGTTGAATATTTGTACAATTATTTATTAAGAAAACAAGAATAAGAAATTTACTATATCTTTAACATCAATATCTTTTGCTACTTAGTTATTTATGACATTATTGAAATCAACTTTAGGACTTCAAGGGAGGCCTAGCTAATTTGATGATTCCACGACTCGGTAAATATTATGAGTGAGCAACAATACATCCAAAAAGTATTGAAGATTTTGTGTCATATCGTCATATTTTTAGAATTTCCAAACTAATGCTATGCAATTTTCTAGCCGTAAAGTCAAGTAAACAATATAACCACGATGAATTCCACTGTGTGCGCTTTGTACACGCAAGAAATTCGTGTGTTTTTCGTTTATAAGAGCAAATCAAGAACTGCTTTAAATAAAACTTTTGTCTTGAAATATTTCTTGCTCACTTTCACCTTGTTTCTCATTGAAAAAAATCATGTAACATGAGATCTCTTCACACAGCCAAATTTTGCATATTCACTTTGAAATCTGATCCATGTGCCTGTTTGCCTTTCCTCTTCATTTAAGAGTAAAAACTTAATAAACACTTATAATTTTGAGCATGTAAGATGAAACAAACAACAAATTTAATGTATAGTTGGAAAAAATCCAAGTCCCAGATGGGGTTTGAACCCATGACCCTCTTTGATCTAGTTGGATGCTCAAATCACTGAGCTTCTGGAGACTCTATGCTGAGCAAGGGTCAAAGCTTTAAATATGTTACTCTTTTTGTTGTGTTTTTAGCGCATGCTTACATGTAATTCGTTTTCCATTTTCGGAGCTAGACTGTGGAATTGCCTGAGGCCTGACCTGCATAAACTTAGAAAAAAACCTTTCAAAAATAAAATTCATCAATTCTTACTTGCCGTACTTGGTAATGAGGATGATTATGTTGATGTCTCTACGTTAATGTTACTAATTATCATTAATTAAACTCTAGTAGCTATTATTATTAATTTCTTATGTTCTATGTCTTATTATAGGTTCTTGCTCTTCCAATGTAAATCCTAGCTATTTGTGAATATATGTGTATACCTATTTCTACCTATTTATTTTCCTGATTTTAATATTGATGCATTTTGCTAAATTTTGTTGTAAGTTATACAATCCACCCCAATTAGCATTGCTACATGTGGGTTGTATAAATTTATAAATCTGTTAAATTTGTTTTGTTGTTATAAAAAATGTGTGTGTGCATTTTAAAAAAAAATGTGTGTGTGTGCAAATTAGGACCTGCATGACAAACAATGGAATCTGTGTATAATACGCACCACGATTTTGATGGTTATTCATACACGGGTAAATACAGTACCGCAGGAAATGCACAGAGAACAGGACAGAGAATATGCATACTTTTATAGGGTGTAAAGGTTCAAATTGTGAAGTGTAAAGCTTTTATACAATACAGTCATGGCTCTCCACAACAGCCACTCTTTAGGACAGAAGTGGTTGTCGTGAAGTGAACATGGTACATGAATGTATTATTTTGAAAATAAGACATTTTTCTTTGAAGAAATGTTCACCCAGGACAATTATTAAGTAAAACAATCATCAATAGGTCAATGACAAAGATGTCAGAGAGTGATTCTTGGAGAAAAATTTCAACAACACAAAACAAGAAAGGCACAGTGCAAGTATTGAACTCAAGACAAAAAAATTCTCTCCAATGAAATATAATATCTTCTTGCACTGAGTGAGTAGTCATACTTGAGTGGCTGTTAACATTGTGGGGTACTTGTTGAGTTGTTGAAATTGGAGTGAATGCATGTATGCAGGGTATATGTTGTAGTTCAATTTTATCCTTGGTTCAAATTTTCTTTTCTTTTGTTTCAAACTCATTATCATACATTAACATGACCGAGAACAAAGGAAAATAAAATTTGAACCAAGTATAAAATTGAACTACACCACATACACAACAAGCATGGTCAAGTCAAATGGTTGGCGATTGTTAAGGAATCATCACTGGTTCACTGGTTCCTCAACAACTTCAGCCAGGTTATAAGGACTAGCTGAACTTGACAAAATCTAACATATGGACCATTTTCCCAGACAAATAAGGAAGTCTTTCTAAGAAAGTGGCCATCATTGAGAGAGACAGACAATTGTAAAAATGTGTTAGACACTCACTTACCCCCCATTCTCTCAAGAAGAGCTCCAGCCATCATCCCTTGACAACTTTCTGCTACCATAATACGACAGTGAGCTCTTACATTTGACAGCGTCAGAATCTGAGAGAGCGAGTCAAGCCTGAGGTCACTGAAGGAAACATAATAAATAACCCCCATTAATGCAAACTTGAATGAATGACACTGAACTCTAAACATTTCAATGACTGTCTGTGGACTCATCCCTACAAGTTTTAAATGAGAGCTCCGGTTTGCCTGTAATCTGACTGGTGTTTGGTAACTGTGCTGCATCAGATGGTATGCAACCTGCTCACTCAAGGCCAATATTTTTGGTCCCCATGTAAAATAATTAATATAACTGTATTACCAAACATTAATTCATAGATTCAGGTGCAGAGACAAATTTGTAAATTTCCTTTAGAGCCTTGTAAACTTGAGTAAAAAAGAAATTGCATCTTTGGGAAATTTCAATTTTTTTGGGGGGGGTGTTGCTGGTGGGATGGGGGACTTCTTGAAACTTGTGACTCCTTAGAACTAACATTTTTTAAATCACACATCAAAGTAATATTACATTATCAATAATTTCTCAAATTTTAGGTATTTTAATCTTTTATTTGTATTTGACTGTGTAACATCTTGAGCATTTTTCAAAAACAGAGCTCTCTTTATTTCTCAATTTGAAATGAAAAAATCGAGGCTAACCATATTTTTGAAGCTCCTCTGCAGTAGTACATTTGTGCTATGAGATCAGTGGTAGGCCTAAGTATTGAAAATCTCACAAAATGCCTGCAAAACAACACATTTCCAATATTAACTTCCACTGCACTTACATGTAAATGATCAAATACAACTATACAACCGCAACTCCAATCATACTTTTTCATTTTCTTGTTCTTGTACTTTGCTTGTGAAAATTGCGTTCTCTCTTTGAATGTTGTACTGTTCTCTACAAGATGTTCAACAATATCCTGAAACAAACCAAATCAGGGAAAAAAAATGTTTGCAACTTGACCAGAGTGTAAGATGCCAAAAAAATGTTTTGAAAAGTTTCTACATTGTATCAGGAAACAACTGTAATCTTAACAGACCATGTTAGAGATTTCTTGTGCTACATGTAAAGGTTACATGTTTATCACATTAAACTGACCTTGCCACTAACTCCTTGTGCTTTGAGATTCATTATTTCATCTCTAGACAACTTCTGTGAAGTGCCATCATTTTGAAGGAACTGATTATTTTTATCATCCACTACAAGAAAAAAATTCACGATTCATGAAAAAAGTTTCAGCAGTTTTGGAATGGACAAGGCCATACAAATGCACAGACATCTCTCAACAATCAAAACAAAGAAGATGGATTTAGTTTTTTACTGCAGTCAAGTCTGACTTTTAAGCAACACTGTGTTCTAAGTAGTCAGTTTTCAAACTCCCAGAATTTTTAGCCCTTACTTACTGTAATTTTTACCTCTACTAAGTAGTCACCTCTATCAAGTTGTCATGGTCAACCATTACTGAGTCCCAATGGCCTGTTTGTGTTGTCTTGCTCCTGTATCGAATGGTCACTTAAGTGAAACTGCTCACCCAAATAAAACTAAGAATAACCTTTCAAGCAAAATTTAACTCATTTTTATCTCCCAAATTAATGTTAGTAGTATTTTTGAGCAAGTTTTTGTACATTAATTGGTTAAGAATGGCATAAAATGACATTCTTTATTGTTTTTTTAATGATACCCCTATTCTGTGAAACCTCTATTATGCAGCCACCCAGCCATTCAGTGGGTGACTGCCAAATGCAGGTTTGAGTGTATTTTTCTTGTGCAAACTAATCCTCACTTACCAACATTGTCCTTTGCTGAAAGAAGTTCATTAACATCCTCTGTTAAATCTAATCTGTTTAGCTTGCCCCCTTTTACTTCAAATAAGGATCCCAAGGGACAACCAATTGCATTATCCAAGGTAAAGTGCAACTTTTCAAATGCCTCCCTCCTAAAGTGGCAACAGAAAGATTCATTAGTAACCTCAAATACAAGCAAAAATATTTTGCATTAATAGGAATCAAGACTAAACTGTTTATTTCGAGAGCTGAGAAAGAAAGTTGTTTAATTCTTTCTTCGTTTTGACTTTCTTCTGCCACTTTTTGAAAATTGGTTGCCAACATTGTTCAAAAGTTATGAAGGTTGTAATTCCGCTCCACACACCCTTTTTCTTGCATGGAATAATAATAATAATAATAATAATAATAATAATAATAACAATAAAATATTTATACAGCACACAATCCACTATTTGTCCATGGCGCATTAAATACATCAATAAGTTAAAAATCATCTAAAAATTAAGAGTTAAAAAGCTTGTTTAAAGAGATATGTTTTAAATGTCACTTAAAATTGTCTATCGAACTACTGGATCTTAGTTCAAGTGGGATCGAGTTCCATAGTCTCAGTGTCGCTCTCTCTCCATATGTTTTCAGTCTAGCTTTCAGGGTCACCAGAAGGTGTTGAGAGGACAATCCTGATTTCCATTCAGAGGTGTGGTACTCTTATCAGTAATTCACTGATGTAGGAAGGCGCTGTTCCATTGAGAGCTTTGTAGACCAGTAGGAGAATTTTAAAAACCATACGGTAACCGACAGGTAGCCAGTGAAGCTGTTTGAGGATGGGGGTTATATGATCAAATTTCTTAGTATGTGTAACAACTCGAGCTGCTGTGTTTTGAATAGATTGTAATCTTGAAATTAGATGTTGTGGAAGACCATAAAGCAGGGAATTGCAGCTATCCAATTTTGCAGTAACAAAGGCAAGAACAACAATTTTGGCACTCTCCTCGTCAATGTACTTTCTGATTTTGGCGATATTTCTTATGTGATAATGAGAAGACTTGCAAATTGATTTTATGTGGTCCTCAAAATTAAAACACTTATCAAAGATGACGCCAAGATTACGAGCTGAGGATGATGGTACAACTGTCACATTCCCAATTTGAAGTGAGTCTAAAGGAGGTCTGGGACGATACCTTGAGCTGATGAGAACAACTTCAGTCTTGTCTTGATTTAGTTTGAGCTTGTTGATAACCATCCAGTTATCTATCTCATGGACTCATTGGTCGATAGTAGTTTTACACTCCACCATTTTATCAAGACAGTCAGTTTTAAATGCCACAGAGAGCTGTGTCGTCAGCATAGAAATGATACTCTAAGTTGTAACGCTTAATAATGTCGCAAGAGGAGAGGTATTGGTATATAGTAGGTATAAAAGAGGGCCAAGGACTGATCCCTGTGGGATGCCACGTTCCAAGAGACGTTGAGAGGATTTGCATTTATTGACATTAACAAACTGTTTTCATGATGTTAAATAAGATCTTAGCCAGGCAAGTACTGCTCCTTGTATTCCAAAACAACAAGATAACCTTGATAATAGGATGGAATGATCTACAGTATAAAAGGCAGCAGATAGGTCGAGTAAAAGTAGAATAACAGTGTTATTGTTATCAATAGCAGTGAGAATAATATTATCATTGTGAACTCTAACAAGGGCCGTTTCAGCAGTGAAATGCTTTATATGCCAACTGAAATGTCTTGTCAAGATGGTGCCTCAGTATATGGTCATTTGATTGCAAAGCAACAGCCTTCTCTAATAGCTTGGACACAAATGTTACATTTGAGATTGGGCAGAAATTTTTTAATTGCTCAAAATCAGCATCTTGTTTCTTGAGAAGTGGTTTTAATACAGCAGCTTTCAAAGCACATGGCATCACACCATTCTTGAGGGACATGTTTATAATCGAGGTTAGTATAGGTAGGATGATGGGAAAGCATGTTTTTAGAACAGATGCTGGAAGTGGATCGAGGTCACATGATTTTGTTAATCAATCAAAGGGGGCAATCCTAAGCCAGCAAGATGGGTTGTCTGTAATAAGTGGTTATTAAATCCCTAGTGATGACCAGAACTGATGCTTTAACTACCAAAAATTGGAAGTGTTAACTTCCAACTTCTTGATCAAATACACAACACAGCATGTATGATACTTTCTGTACTCCACCCATCATCTAACAATGTCTCAACAACCTTATGCTTCAAAAGTTTTGAAGAAGTGAAACCTACATATCACGAGAAAAAAAAGAAAAGTTGAGCATGATCATTCTGGTGGAACAAATGATTTAAAAAGGAATAATATCTGCTCTACATAATTTTGGCCGAGGAAAGAATGGGTTAGCTTGTAGTGCTGTTCTTCTAATTTTTGATCACAAACGGAGAAAAAGAGCTATTTCGTGCCTGGAAGACAGAGCTTCCAAAAGTGTATGGTGTATCCGCAAACTTTGGCCGAGGAAAGAATGGGTTAGCTTGTAGTGCTGTTCTTCTATGTTACCTTTGAGGATGTAAGATGGTCAGTTAGTACGAGAAATCAGTGCTAAGATTCTTTTCTATACGAGTCAGTTTAGACAGTTTTCAATCGATTTAGGACTTCAGGTGTGTCTAAGTAAGGGAGGTCTGAGTCTTTGAGGAAAACTAGTAGAGACCTTGGAGTGTTTACTTCTTTGAAAGCAGCTAGCGCTGTGAATCAGTAACGTAAAGAATTTACACTTGTAAACAGCCGTGAAAAACCTTTGAAGCTTAAATTCCTGGGACATTTCCCAGAGGGGGTATTATGCAGCTTTGTATTCATCGACGCATAACAGGAGGATGCATGCTGAAGGGAAGCCCACATGCAACAGGAAAGGTTTCGTTTCCATGTGCTTCCACGGCGGCTTTGAATATTTGGATGAAGTTACATTACACCTTTGCCGTCCCTACCTTCCTTTGCGAATTCTCACAGCTTTTATGACATTTTCCTTCTTTAAAATTACATAATCTCCTTCATTTATCATCTTCGGCGAGAAAACAGCTGCTAAATATTCACGGAAACATAACCACACTGATGCACAAAGCAGGCCGCCATCTTGATTTGTTACTTTCTGCATGCGACGTTGCATGTACATCACAATGTAGAGTCCTTCAGAAGGTCTCGGCTGACTAGTTTGTTTTACAGGCTCGTATATTTGCCGTTGCGAAAGGGAAACATGGCGGCGTCGACTGTTTCGGGCAGTAAGACTTTTTCATTGTCGCAGTGACCTTACGATGCTCATCAGAATAGATCCCTGGAAGCACATGAGCTAGTATAAAATGGGATCGCAGACGTTAGAAATTCTAAGGCAGGGAGTTTGGGCCTCACTCACTGGTGGTTGGTTCTTTGACCCTCATCAAGAAATATTCACAAACACTTTTCATTTTTATTTATGGATGCTGTTACTTTGTCTACCGTTTTCTCTTTATCTGGTAAGATGACTCAGATCTTTTAAAAGTTTTTTTTTACACTTGTAATGTTTTTCAAAAATAGGTAAAAAAAAATTAAATGACAGAGACGTACATGTCGAAAGTTGACAATTATGATGTCAAACTTAAAGTGTATCGATTATTTCCTCGGGTACCTCATTTTGTTGCGATTTTGATTTTATTAATTTCGTTATTTCAGGGCACAGCACCTTCGAGTTTGGTCTGGATTCTGTATTCCATCGTCATTGCAGTCATTTTCTTGGCGATAAAATGTCTGAATTACCGACTACACTTGATGTTCGATGGTGAAGAAATACGCACCGAAAGTGAACAACAAGAGGAAGTACGAAGTGGAGAATCGGGAGCTGACAGAGATGAGAATTCAAGAGTGGAGGTTAGAAGCAGCACTGTGGAACATGGAGGGGAAGTTATTGAACTGGAAGTGATAAACCGTTGTTCGGAGGAAGTTGCCAACGAACCCGGGGACGAAAATGTAGCGCAGTCAAGTTGTCCTTCAGGCTTACCTCCACAGCTACCTCCTTCTTCTACTTCTCTACTTCTTAACGCATCGTCAGTCGCAACTGCTACAAGACCTCACCAGGTCCAACTCATACGCTTGTTAACTATAATAATTACCAGATCTTTTTATAACAACTCCGGAAAGTCATTTCAATATTTTGTGCACATAGCCTCATGCAATTTGTGAACTATTCTTTAACAGGTAAATTGATTGCTTTATGTTCACAAATTTCAAGGGAAGAAAAACGGAAATTCTCCAAGTGCTGATCTTTTTTTCAAGGCTAACTTTGTTTTACCTCTCTGCTTGCATCTCTTGTTATCTAATCATTCTCCACTTGCACTTGTCAGCTTATCAGCAATCAGGTTTATTGAATGCTCTATCCTTTCAGTGCACTTTGCTTTACTTGTAAATTTGATTCAATTCTCAGAGTATTTTTTTTATAGTTACTTGCTCAGGGTTATGCCTTTTTACCACCTGGAAAGGAAAAAGGAAGGAAAAGAGGAAATGAACAAAATGGAACACACACTGAAAAAAAAAACAAAAACAAAAACAATAAAACTCCATTATATGGGTAATTAACTAACCACTTACATACATGCTCTTCTTCAATTGTGAGTGTAATCTCTCAGGGTGGAATGATTTACTCTTCATTGTAACTTACATCACCAAGTGTCAGAACTTGGTAATTTCCTGCTTCATTATCATGACTGTTCTTGAAAAGGCTCACATAGTACACATCTACAACTTACAGTGCTTGCCAAATGTTTGGACTGGTACTCATGATGCTTGATAATGGGAACCTCTCTAAGACTTTATTCAAGCAACAAGAGCTAAAATGTGCTTTTTTGCAAAACATGACTAATTGAATACCATGCTTTGCTTTATATGTTTTATCTCAAACAACCTTGCCACTCTTACCTGAAATCTTTTCTTTCTCTTTGCTGAAGTCAGGGATAATTTGCCCCCAGTGTACAAGTACCTAGTTATTTTCATGATCTGATTTTGAGTAATCCTTCCTCCCTCCCTTGTTCGCTTGTTATCACACTTTCTTTTGCAAATTTAGTTGGTGTTTTACTAAGTTAGCCATTGTAAGCTTCGAAAACAAGATCTTGAAAAATCGTTGAACAAGTGACAGTTACTTTTCTAAATTTTGAATGAAGTTGCTTGAGTTTGCATTGTGCAAAATTACTTTTATCCTCATGATATAGAACATTTTGTGAGGGTGATGCAACATGGAAAGACCAAGGATTTTATAATCTCAATTTTCCACTGAAAACTTAGAGATTGATTGAAACAGGTTTTTTTTTTTTTTTGAAAAAAACAAAGCAATGAAAAGGGGTTTATGTGAATTGTACAAGAGAAAAATGCTGGATCAATATCAGCATCTGAGCAACTGCACTGATACTCCCCCCCCCCCAACCCAACAATGGTCAACTGTTAATAAGTAAAGGTTAATATTGAGTTGGGGGGGTTGGTGTGCAGTTGCTCAGATTCTGACATTGATCCAAAGTGCCTTTCTACTGTACCCATTTATTGAATATAATGCAATAGAAAGGTTTGTCCATACAATAGGATCATTGTCTTAACTGGTGACTGTTTTACTCTGCACATGAACCTCAAAATTAGCCCCAGTATTCTGAAATTTATAGTATATCATTGGAAAATTTAAGTGGTGGAGGATTATGGATATTTTCTAAATTTTATAAGCTTGATTGAGCACAAACTCTATTGTGGTGTAAGTGTGAACCAACACATGAATGTTATTTTGCTTAAACAGAATGATCCTAATGAAGGTGATGAAAAACAAGAACAGATGCAGAGATTGTTTGCACAGGAAGGGGACCACTGGGATAGTGAGACATCTCTGAACGGTGGTGAAACCGGTGAGATTGCTGTATTTGGACTTCCTTCTGTAAAGTCAACTCCACCTCTTGCCGCTCAGGTGAGTATTGCCACTGTTTTATGGAATTTAACAGCACTTTGATAAAGGGGGAGTGTATATTGTTGACGGAGGCAAAACATTGTTCTTTTTTTTCATGATATTATTAACTGAGAACAAAAAGTTAAATTATACTTTGTTTCTTGAATTGAACTTGTCACACATTCAATACTTGAGATGCAGAGTCTGGCAGACAGATCACAAAGTGAATCTGTAAACTGTACATGACAGCAGCAAAATGAAATGAAAAAAGATAATGTGTAGTGGTCCTGGTTAGGCTTGTTTTCAAAAAGTGTTGGACAGATGTAGATGTCTAATGCTAAGCTAAAATTTGGCTTGTGCAATTGTGGAAGTGTGATGTCCATGATTTGATCACCTTGTGCAGGATGATCAAAGCAAGATATGATTTAATCATTAACCCTGTTTGGTCCAAGGCTGTTTATTATAATTATATTTAATAATTTGGATACATCAACAAAGTTGAAATGGTAAATTGGCCACCATAACAATTACAAAAGCTGATGTTTCGAGCGTCAGCTTTTGTAATCGTTATGGTGGCCAATTTACCATTTCAACTTTGTTCATATATCCAAATTATTTCGTTACTCCCACCCACGCAGCCCTAAACAGTTTCTTTCGAAACTATCAGCCTTTACTATATATGTAAATGAGCTGCCAGAATCAATAAATGTTGGTAAAGTGTTCATGTATGCGGAGGATACCACTATATATTGCACTGGGATAAACGTTGAGGATGTTGTCTTAAAGTTGAACTCTATTATGGATCAGATATCTCTATGGAGTGTCAAGAATAAACTTACTATTCATCCTAGTAAATCAGAAGCTATGATTATAAGGAAATCTCCTTTTATTGGTCCACTTTGTCCTGTACGTTATGGCTCTGGCTTTGTGAACTTTGTTACTTCCACTACTTGCCTTGGCGTCACCACTGATAATAAACTGTCATGGTCTGCTCATATTGAGAAAGTTAACAAGAACTTTTTCATTAAAGTATGTGCATTGAAAAGAACGTGTCATCTTCCACAACATGTATTACAAGATATCTATTTCAAAACAATTATTCCTTGTGTAATCTATGCAATAGCAGTATGGGGTAATTGTTCAACATCTCAACTAGAATCTTTAAATTCTGCTCATAAAAGAGCTTGTTGGCTGATGAATATTGACAATACATCCTCGAAAGACTCCAAATGGTTACCAATAGACTACTTTTATAAGAGGTGCTTACTTATGTTGATGTTTAAAGTATTTTATGGCCTGGAACCTAAACCTGTATTGGATCTTTTCATGAAGAAAGTCTGCACTCAAGCATCTAGAATATCCAATCAAATTACTATTAAGAGGATTAAAACTGATTTTGGCAGACAATCAGCTCAATATAGAAGCCCTCATATTTGGAATTATTTGAATAGCAAAGTTAAAATTTCCGAAGTAAACACAGATGCCTTCAAAAACATTCTAAGAAAGTCTGTTGTGGATATTAATAACTTTACTTTTGACAAGGAAGCTATTTTAAATAAGAATAAAGACAATGACTTTATTTATAATTAAGACTGTCATTATAAAAGAACTTTATAAGTGAATAATTTAATATATTTACTTTTATATATTTTACTTTATATATTTTATATTGTATCATTAATTGAAAATATTTTCATCAATGTAATATTGTAATAATCTTTGTACTATTTTAATAACAATTTTATTATATTTTAGGTCCACATCAGCCCTATGGGTTGCCTTAATTTAACCTACATTAATAAATAAAATGATGATGATGACCAATCAGAGCACATACATCTTGGTTATTATAATACTAAAAAGAGATGAGGGGAATTAGGAAGGTGTTCAAAAGGAAGCCTGCAAAGGGTTTTTTTCCAATGAACTACATGACTTTGTACAATTATTAGGGCCTCTAAGGATATGAGTTTTTGTAACTGTAGGAGTTACCCTAACCAAATAAAAGTAGCATAGTCTTCTTCTTCTTCAATATAACATTTAAATTGAAATTTTCCTCGTCTCGAAAATCTGTTGTATGTGCAGTTGAATTCCAGCTTAAAAGATTTGGTTGCAGAGAGGGGTGGAAAGCTAATTGTATTATAATTTTAAAGTCAGACTGTGGCCTTATTGTGAGCTGTAAATTTTTGTTTTT